AAACCTGTCCAACATCCACACCATTGTAGTCCCTGAAATTCTAACATCAATCTTCTGATCTACTGCATGATTATTGGTTTCCTACAGATAAGTCAATTCCTACTTCAAAATACGCATTTGTACAGTTTTTAATGTAGTGAAGTATCATAAAGCACTTCACTGGATCACTACACAGAATATGGGAGCAGTAGAAGGTCATTCAGCCATTTAAGCCTGCTCAAACTTTCAAGATGGTCATTCCTGATCATCCGACTCAGTACCCTAATTCCTGCTTTCTCCTCAATCCTTTGATCCCCTAGGCAGAAAAAATATATATCTCTCTCCTTTGAAACATTCAAGGTTTTTGCCTCACTTTTTGTACTAGAGAATTCCACAAGTTCACCATTCTCCAAGTGAAGAAATTTCTCCTCATCTGTCATTGATGGTCTCCTCTCTATCTTTAGACTGTGACCACTGGCTTTGGTCATTGAGAACATATTTCCCACACCTACCTTGTTCAGTGCTGTTAGAATTTTATAGGTTTCCATGACATCTTTCCCACCTACTCTTCTAAACTCTAGTGAATACAGACCTAACCAATCCAGCGAGTCTTCATGCGTCAGACCTGGTATTTCAGGAACCAGTCTGGAAAATCTTCATTGCACTTCCTCAATAGCCAGAATAGCCGTCCTCAGGTTAAGGAGACAAAAACTGCATACAATGCTCCAGGTGCTAATCACAATAGCACTAAACCCCAGAAGGATATCTTAGGTCAGATGGAGAAATGATTAATCAGAGATGTAGGTTTTGAGGATCTTACAGGCAAAATGGTATGGGGGTTTTGGGAGGGCATTTCAGGTTTTAGATCCTTGGCAACTAAGACATGGCTGCCAAGGGACCAGTGATGAAACTCAAGAGTTGTGGAAAAGGGCAGAATTGGAGAGGATTTGAGAGGTAAGGAGATGCAAAGCCATTGAATGAAACAATCTCATTTCAGAATTTAAACTAAAGGCACTGCTGGACACAGGCAGTGTGGAACAGTGAACTTTTCACAAATATCCTTCAGGGAAGACAATCTGCCACCCTCACCTGGTCTGGACTACATGTGACTCGAGACCCACTGCAACATGATTGATCTCAATTGCCCTCTGAAACGGCCTAGCAAGTCACTCAGTTGTACCAATTGCAACAAAGTCTCAAAGAAATGAAACTGGACTGATTACCTGGCATCAAACTGGGCACTGGAAAAGACAATGGCAGAAACAGCCCTGTCAACCCTGCAAAGTTCTCCTCATGTAACATCTGGGGGTTAGTGCCAACATTGGGAGAGCTGCTTCACAGTCTAGTTAAGCAACAGCTTGACATAGTCATACTCACAGAATCACAACTTACAGACAATACACACACCATCACCATCCCTGGCTATGTCCTGTCCCACCGGCAGGATAGAGCCAGCAGAGGTGGCAGCACAGTGGTATACAGTCGGGAATGTGTTGCTCTAGGAGTCCTCAACATTGACTCCGGACATCATGAAGCCTCATGGTTTCAGGTTACACACGGGCAAGGAAACCTCCTGCTGATTACCATATACCATCCTCCCTCAGCTGATGAATCAGTACTCCTCAAAGTTTAGCAACATTTAGAGGAAACACTGAGGATGGCAAGGGCACAAAATGTATTCTTGGTGGGAGATTTCAAAGTCCACCACCAAGAGTGGCTTGGCAGCAGTACTACTGATCAATCACGTCGGGTCCTAAAGGACATAGTTGCCAGACTGGATCTGAAGCAAGTGGTGAGGGAACCAACAAGACAGAAAAACATACTTGACCTCATCCTTACTCATCTGCCAGCTGCAGTTGCATATGTCCATGACAGTATTGATAAGAGTGACCATCGCGCAGTCCTTGTGGAGATGAAGTCCCGCCTCCACATTGAGAATAACTTCCATCGTATTGTGTGGCACTCTCACCGTACTAAATGGGACAGACTTCACACAGACCTAGCAACTCGAGATTGGGCATCCACGAGGCATTGTGGGCCATCAACAGCAGCAGAATTGTACTCCAGCACAATCTGTAACCTCATGGCCCGGCATATCCCCCACTCAACCATTACCATCAAGCCAGGGGATCAACCCTGGTTCACTGGAGAGTGCAGGAGGGCATGCCAGGAACAGCACCAGGCATACCTGAAGATGAGGTATCAACCTGGTGAAGCCACCAAACAGATCTACTTGCATATCAAACAGCGAAAGCAGCAAGTGATAGACAGAGCTAAGCGATCTCAACCAACCAGATCAGATGTAAGCTCTGCAGTCCTGCCATATCCAGTCATGAATAGTGGTGGACAATTAAACAACTCACTGGAGGCGGCTCCACAAATATCCCCATCCTTAACGATATAAGAGCCGAAAACATCAGCACAAAAGATAAGGCTGAAGCATTTGCAGCAATCTTCAACCAGAAGTGCCGAGTGGATGATCCACCTCAGCCTCCTCCAGCATTACAGATGTCAGTCTTCAGCCAATTCGATTCACTGCATGTGATATCAAGAAATGGTTGGAGACATTGGATACTACAAAGGCTACAGGCCCTGACAAAATTCTGGCAATAGTAGTGAAGACTTGTGCTCCAGACTTGCCGCTCCCATAGCCAAGCTATTCCAGCACAATTACAACACTGGTATCTACCCGACAATGTGGGAAATTGCCCAAGTATGTCCTGTACACAAAAAGCAGGACAAATCCAACCCGCCAATTACTGCCCCATCAGTCTACTCTCAATCATCAAAGTGATGGAAGGTGTCAACAGTGCTATCAAGCAGCACCTGCTCAGAAATAACCTGTTCAGTGACGCCCAGTTTGAGTTCTGCCAGGGCCACTCAGCTCTTGGCCTCATTACACCCTTGGTTCAAACATGGACAAAAAAAAAGCTGAATTCCAGAGATGAGGTGAGAGTGACAGCCCTTCATATCAAGGCTGCATTCGACTGAGTGTGGCATCAAGGAGCCCTAGCAAAACTGGAATCAATGGGTATCAGGGGGCAAATTCTCTGGTGGTTGGAGTCATACCTGACACAGAAAGATGGTCGTGGTTGTTGGAGGTCCATCATCTTAGCTCCAGGACATCTCTGCAGGAGTTTTTCAGGATAGTATCCCAGGCCCAACCATCTTCAGCTGCTTCATCAATGACCTTCCCTCTATTGTAAGGTCAAAAGTGGGGATGTTCAGCACCATTCATGACTCCTCAGATACTGAAGCAGTCCACGTTCACATGCAACAAGATCTGGACAATATCTAGGCTTAGGCTGACAAGTGGCAAGTGACATTCGGGCCACACAAATGCCAGGCTATGACCATTACCAATAAGAGATAATCTAACCACCGTCCCTTGACATTCAATGGTGTTACCATTACTGAACGCCCACTATCAACATCCTAGGTGTTATTATTGACCAGAAACTCAACTGGACTCATAATATAAACACAGTGGCTACAAGAGCAGGTCAGAAGCTAGGAATACTGCAGCAAGTAACTCATCTCCTGACTCCTCAAACCTGTCCACCATCTATAAGGCACAAGTCAGGAGTGTGATGGAATAATCCGCACTTGCCTGGGTGAGTGCAGTCGCAACAACACTCAGGAAGGTTGATACCATCCAGGACAAAGCAGCCCGCTTGATTGGCACTACATCCACAAGCATTCACTCCCTGCACCACCGAGCTCAGTAGCAGTAGTGTGTGCCATCTACAAGTTGCACTGCAGAAATTCACCAAAGATCCTCAGACAGCACTTTGCAAACACATGACCACTTCCATCTAGAAGGACAAGTGCAACAGACATATGGGAACACCATCAGCTCCAAGTTCCCCTCCAAGCCACTCACTATCCTGACTTGGAAATATATCGCCGTTCCTTCACTGTCGCTGGGTCAAAATCCTGAAATTCCATCCCTAATAGTATGGTAGGTCAACCTACAGCAGGAGGACTGCAGGGATTCAAGGCAGCAGCTCACCACCACCACTTCTCAAGAGCAACTAGGATGGGTAAGAAATGCTGGGCAGCCAGCGACGCCCACATCCCACAAATGAATAGGGAAAAAAAAACTGACTTGGTGATAAGTTAACAGGACTTGATGCAAGTTTAGGTACAGGCAGCTAGGTTTCAGGTCAGTTCAATCATGAAGGGAGGAAGATAGCAGAGTAGTCAGGAGACTAATGGAATAGTAAAATCTGAAAGTAAAATTGATGAAAGTTTCAGCAGTACATATGGGCAATATAACATATGTTAAAAGGATAGGGGCCAAAAGTTCAGCTCAGGATCCAATGTATCAGCTAGATTGTGAATAACCTAGTTCCATCGGAGACAAATCATGGAATTGTTTGCGAGGGAATGGAATTAGCAACCAAAAATATAGCTTTGGTCTTCCTCTAATATTTAACTGGCAGAAATTCTTGCTTACTATTGGATGTTGGATAACAAGTGGAACAAATCAGAGGCAGTGGAGGGGTCAAAATTGAATGTGGTGCAGTAAAGCTAGGCATCATCAGCAAATATGTTGGATCTAAAATACTTTTGGAAGAACAGCATGCAGATGAAGTGGAGGTTGGTATACAAGTCATTACAGAAAATTATCTGGCTATGACTGGATAGCTACGAACCATGTAAAAACAATTAACACTCAAATGTTTAATAGAGAAGTGGCATTACAGGAGGAGTATGATTAACCTGGCCAAAGCCAGTAGTCATAGCCATAAGATTTGACACATAAATAGTTTGCAGTTGGCCAGTTAAAATGAGGAGCTGTTTCTCCAAAGCAAACGATTTCTACAGCTGCAAAGAAAGTGAACAACATGTAATTCTAAGAATTGCAAGGATGTCTGATTTAAATATAAGTTTAAGAGTACATGTCTAGTTAGTCACAGTAACGTAAGTTAAATTTGTCTGTAACACTAATTAACATTGCAGTCAAAATTTTTGGCACATCAACTTTTTCTCTGTTCCAGTCAGTTAACCTGCATTACCTTGATATCTTCATTCCCTGTGATGATGTCAGCAGCACCAGTTACAGGCTGTAGCAGTGACATCTGTTGGTATAGATTAGGAAAACAAACCAGAGATCCAAGAAGAATCTGTGCTTCATATCGCGGTGCCTACGGAATATACAAGATATTTTAAAACAAACAGCAGAACAATTTGGTCAAGCAAGACACAGATAATACAGGAGTACCTTGACTGCATCTCATTCCCCAACCACTATCTTGTTCTAAAGACTGATGACAAGGATTTTTCCACTAGCCAGATTCATTTGCACAGCTCCACAGCTGGCTCAACTGTGCACGACTGAGGGTTTCAGGTTCGTGGGGGCAGGAAGTAGATGGAAAATGCAATAGTCAGAGGGAATTTCATAATTAGGACAACAGCAAGGCACTTCTGTACCTGCTGAGGTGAATTAATGATGGCATGTTGCCTCCCAGTTGCCAAAGAAGTTACTAAGCAGAGATAGTAGGAACTGCTGATACTGAAGAATCTGAGATAACAAGGTGTAGAGCTGGATGAACACAGCAGGCCAGGCAGCATCAGAGGAGCAGGAAAG